GGTCCACATTCTGTCTGAGGGTAGCGGTACCTTCCCACTGTTTCCTGCGAGCTCAGCTCTCTTGGACGGGCTCTACAGCCCAGCCTTGGGCAGGATTTCCGCGCCCCCCACGGCGGAAGCCGGTGGTTTCGACGGCACCGACATTCTTGTGGCCGGGGACTCATCCTTGGCATTGTGCTGGATGCAAGGAAAACGGTGTGTGAAGAAAACCACTATCTTCCCGATGATGCAGGACATAGTCCGCGCGAACCCAGAGTTCGGGGAAGTCACATGCCTGATGGAGTGGGGCAAAGGTCTCGACAGGATCGTTGACGTGATCGAGACCCACCTTGCCTCCGCTCCCCCGGAAGGGGTAGAGCTTGTGGTTTCATGGGCCGGCAACGATGTGTACGGTAACTACGGTTACCTTGGCTACACTTGGCACTTGACGAGCCAGTGGGTCAAGAGGCCGCAGCGCGAGCTGGACGAGATCGAGCATTGGCCCGCAAAGCAGCGGCTGATGGTCGAGAAGAGCGTCCGTCGCCTTATCGAGCTGCGGAAGCACACTCGTGTCAGAGGCCTGACGGTTCTCTTGGGAGATGACAACGGCCGCTTTTACAACCTGCCCAACGAGTATGATGAAGAAATGGGCAAGTACGCCCGGCAGATGCAGAGTGAAGGCGTGTGCGTCGTTGATCCATCAAGCCTCCTGATGAGGACTACGCGTCCCGACGGGTTCCACATCGAGGTCACAGACCCGAATGTGACTGCTTCTTTGCAGTGGTGGCATGCGCTCATCAGAGCCATCTCCACCGACCGAATCATCACTCGCCGGAAGGCTGAGTTCGTTGCCAATCAGAGAAGTATTGTGTTTCGCAATCACTTCGAGCTTGGGAAGGCCGAGAAGACGCTCACGGTGCCGCCTGCAAGTCAGCGCATCCTCGAGCCGTTGGACCGTGCACCTGAGCTCCCGGCGGAAGCCAGGGAAGAGGATGAGCAGATCGTTCTCGACCACCCTCTTCTGATGATGATGCCTGAGCCGGTGGATGATCTTGAACTCAAGCCGGAAGGCTCTGAAGAGGTGACACAGGTTGAACATGTGCTGTTTAGCCGTGATGTTGGGTCAGAGCTGCCTCTCGACCTTGTCGCCGTCGACCCTGAGGCGCAAGAGGACTTTGCCTTTATGGTTGCACGAGATGTCATCAATACCACCAATGTGCTTATCCCAGATGACGATGCCATCGAGAGGGAAGTCAATGACGGCATCCCCACGGTGTGGGACGAACCCCCAGAGGTTCCGGCATCGGAAGATGACCGCAGTCTTCCCAAAGGCACAGTCGGGTACTCGCAGGCACTTCGCCGAATCGGGTCGACGCCCAAGTCGAAACCCGATCCTGCCAAGCACAGGAGAATCTCGGAGCCAGCCGAGACTGACGATGAAGAGGACGTCGTGATGGACCTGGATCCTGACGACATCGCTCAGCCGTCGGAAGACGCTGCTGGTGATTTCGAGCCATTCTTCGAATGGTGGGGCTATGAGGACATCCCCGATTTTGCCCCAAGCCATCGCTACATGACGGATGGCAAGCGGCGAGCATTGAGCAGTGCCATGAGCTTTTTCCTTCGTGGCTTCGCGAATAGTGCAGAGTCACAGGCACAACGGCGGCCACCGCCCATGATGACCTTCGACCCCGCAACGCGGGAGGTCGAATGGGATCACTTCAAAGAGCAATTGGGCAAACAGTGGCGCGGTCTCCGGTCGGAAGACGTCATGGAAGTCGTGAAGTATGGTAACCGCGACAAAGATGACAGTGGACGCTTTGAGTTGCGCGTCCTCCACTTCGTCGACCACACTGAGATCCATGGAATCCGTGCATTCCAGGGGCACTGCCGCGATCTCATCTCTGACGAGACTGATCTTGTGGATATGCACAGTGACAGCTATGCTTTGTGTGACGGCTACCGGCCCACCATGCACACGCGTCCTCCTGTAGGAGTCACTGGCCACATCCACAACGACTGGGTCAGAATGCATCCGATCGGGTACCATGCAACGTATTGGAGCAATTTTTCCAATATTGTTAGCACCGGTCTCATCCCAGGCGGTGTCACCCTCGGCGGAAGCACGGGGAGAGCCTTCACCATGATGGCTTGCCTCCCTCAGTGGGAAAGGCCGAACAACGCCGGCCTGCGACCTGGCGCTGAGGTTGAATTCGCTATCGACCTCCAACTCGCGTGCCTGGAAGGGTGTCGCATTCTCCTGACAAAGAACAATGTTCTGCAGACCCCAGATTGGTTGTCCAATCGCTACCTTATGTTTGCTTACGATCGCAGAACCGGGAAACCTGTATGGTTTAACCGCTCGTACGAGCTCACGCGAGCTCGGGTGTCCAAAGCCCGTGATGCATATGTCAAGCGTCAGGAGATCCTGCCGGTCTTCAACCAAGACCTCATCGAACGCGCAGCGGAAGCTGACGCTAATTGCATCATGGATTACGTTGATCTCTGTTACCCGATCCACAATGAAAATTTGGACTGGGTTGAGTTCTTGGGTATGTTCATGGACATGGAGAAGCCCTCGCACTTGCGTGAGGTTGAGCAGTTTCATGTCGATGGTCGTACCATCTGCTTTGAGCAGGGTAGTCCGCTGGAGGGAACTCGGTCCGTGCGAATGGACCTTGGATGCCCAGGTCTACTTTTCGCCAATCGGGCTGACCACCGAGCGCCCGTCGCGTGTGGAGCGCAAGCACTACTCAGTGTGCCTCAACATCAGCTTCCCAAAGCTGCGTTGCCCTGACGATAGGTGCAGGTCTCAGATGCTTGACGGCTATCTTCATTGCCCCCGCTGCCAGCGGAAGTTGTTCAACCCGAGCGACATCTCCCACATTGCGGAGCTGGCTGATCTGCGGGCGGAAGCCGTGCAAGGTGGAGCTAATCACAGCCTCCACTATTTGGCACCGAAGGCCGCCATCAACACGCGCCCACACGAGCACACACGTCAGGGTGCCGATGTGAAGAAGAGCATCGCCGCGACACTTAAGGAAAAGTGCAAGAAAATGGTGGCGAAAGCGGCAGAGGGAGCGCATGGCTCCTTGCGCCAGAACTTGAAGTACGAACCCTTCAGCGCATTCAATGTGTTTTCCAAGGGGATGACGGTGACTTCACTCGACGAGATCGAGATGTTCTCGCGCTTGCGACTTCCCGCCCCAGGAATGGGGACGGAGGCAAAGAGAGGCTTTGCAGGATCTCACACATCCGATGCACGCACTGCCCTCATTTTCCCTCCTGTCGACGATGTGATTCGCGGGGAGTACAACTATCAGAGGAACATTTTTCTTGAGCTGGCCAGCCACTGCTACTTTTGTTTCCAGGATCGTTTTTACCTGGTCCCCGAGATTGCAGTGTTGATCCGAGCCACTCAGATTGCCTCTGAGGTACGCCGTGTGCGTCCTTTTACCATCCTCCGCCATGACGGCGTCGAGTACCAGACCGTGACCGGTACTGTTCCAGAGATCATGGCCGACCTAGTCGGTATGCTCCGCAACAACGCACAGTATGCTCTCACCCAGAAAGAGCGCAATCAGCAAAGGGTGACTGTGCAGGTTGGAATCGGACAGACTCCGTTGCAAATCCCAGCATCCCTGGGGACAATGGGCAGGTCACAGATGCTCGAGCTTCTTGGCGGTACGCGGTTCAGTGTTGAGCGTACCCGCGGCTGGATTAATCGCGAGGTGGAAGACCGAATGGTCCGACATGGTGCCACTCCCATTGGCGCCATGCGTGTGCCGCCTCCGCCGCCGTCACCATCCGGAAGGACTGGTCCTGACTCGTCGCTGCCCGCAGCAACACCCAGTGTTCGGCCTCCACCGGCTCCTCCGAGCCGAGGTCGCTCACCTGGCGGTGCAGCTTCGTCATCTACGGATCGTCCAGCGAGCACTTCTGTTCCGAAAGCTGCAAAGACGAAGGCAAGGCCGGCATCTGCCCGAAGCATTACGCCGCCTCCTCCTAAGCCCAGTGCTAACAGGCCAGTGCAGCCGCCGCACCCACCAGCTGCAAAAGCTGTTCCGAAGGCTGACGCCGTTCGTGCACCTGAGGAATACATCACTGCTGATGAGTGGGACGATTATTTTGCCGGTCGTGGCGAGGTTAGAGGTTTTGCTGTAGGTGATGCACCTGCACCAATTGCCGCCCCTGCGGGGTCACCCACTGATGAACCATCTGCCTCAGCCGCCGGAGGGCGTGCTCGCACTCGCTCACCGCGCCGCCATGACTATGGTGGTGGCCGAGACTTTCAAGAGGCCGCGAACGACAGGTTGCGTCACCTGCGCCTGTGTGATGAGGCGATTGAGCAGCAACTCGAGAACCTGACGGTCACTCTCCCAGGCTTCCCAGCTGATCGCCTAAGGGAATGGATTGACCAAGACGGGAACGGATTCGATCCATCCCGACCAATGCCTCGCAATTGCACTCGCACAGATGCTTGGTATTGGGGAGTCCTCCGTGCCCGTTACCTTGAGGAGCTGTCGCCCACTGATGTGCCTTTTGTCATTCCCGCTTACACCGACCGGGAGGTTTTGGTTCAACATCCTGTTGAGCAAATCGCCTGGTTCCTGCGCGGATGGGAGGAGTATCGCCAGGACTCCAATGGAGCATGGTACAGGGCATACTAGCCTATTGCATCCGACACCGGAAGGTGCTCCGCGTCTTGAGGGCACCGTGTCAGGAGATGCATGAGTCGCACGCAACAGCGACTTGCATTTTGATCCGTTTTTCTGCAACTCACCGCACTGACGTGCTGGTTCAATCACACCAGCCTTCGCATCGGCACGCCCGTGCATCACCGCCCTGACGGGTTGGTTTGCTGACCCGCTTAGTGGAGTGATTTGAGTTTGCATTTCAAGATCTTTTGCTAGCCTCGCGAAGCGAGTGCTGCCTCAGAGTAGCGTAGAGTAGTAATACGCCTCCTCCGCTGCGCTTCAATGCGCGGGGGGTGTTTTTATTCTCTTTGTATGCTAGTCATCATGTCTTACCTACGCTACCTCGTGGCTCAAGTACAAAAAGGATTCGTGCGTCCCGCTGTTAACAATAATAGAGCCCCGAACAGGAACTCATGCCTTAAAGGAAGCTCGATTATACTGATTTCATCACAGGTTTTAATGAAGCCCACCCGGAAGCCCTCAACCCGTGAGCCCCAAACCCTGAACCGCAAAACCCCTGAACCATAAAGCCCATAAGCCCTATAAACCTTAAGTTTCTTGCAAGGCTCGGCGCTGTTTCGGCGCGCCGCTGCGCGGCGCGGCACGACGACGAGGCGTAGAAACTTCAGAGGTTCATCCTAACCTTCACCTGGACTCAAATAAACTACCTTTGTAACGGCTTGAACCAAGAAATCATAGTGGGGAACCTTAACAAGAAAGGTTTTACGGGGTCCAGGTACCAAGGACTGAGATTTTAAGGCTTTTGGCCCCAATTACCATACTATGTATAAGGCGTAGGTTCTGATTAATTAAGGTAGGGTTTAGCATTCAGAATTAATCCCAAAACCCCTAAACACCACAAACCCTGAACTCCCTCAACCCTACTCCCTACATCCCGAACGCTCAAAGCCTAATCCACAAACCTCCAAAGTCCCAACGTCCTGAAACACTCGAAGCCTTTCGGGAAGCCCTAAATCTCAAACCCCGAAGCCCGAAACAAAGAGGAGCGGACATCAGGGGTTTAGGCTTTGCAGAAATTCTACTGGGTCTTGACCGAAACTGTTTTGACCAAGCTTCTCTTCCAAAATTCGACAAAGTTGGATTGAGTGCCTGGTGGCTAAGCCCGAGAAGGGCTTGGGCTGAGGGGCTGCGGGGCCTGGAGGGGGCTGGGGCTATTAAGACATGAAGAGGTGGTCGTGACAGCCTACAGCTTGTAACCGTGAACATTCTAAACCCTGAACCCTAAACTGACTAAACCCTAAACCTTAGGGTTATCAGTTGACCATAGAGAGCCGTTGGAGCTCGACACGCCAAAGCCTGAGCGTTTGAAAATGCAGGCGATGCCCAAACCTTGGGTGCGGAGGCCTTGTGTGGGTTTTCGGTTTAGAGTTTATAGGGGTTTAGGGTTGTGCCTCGAATGGTGTTGAAGGGGCCGAGTTTCACCGAAACCCTTAAATCTAAACCCATGTGTGTATTTGACGATTCCTCAGTGAAAGGGCTCAGAATTCTTTGGAGGCTTCCTGCTTCGACGACTAAAGTTTGAAAGGCAGCTGTAAGCTGGTTTAGGGTTTAGGGCGCAAGAGTTCAAGCGCATGAAGGCTTTTGCTCCAGGATTGGGAGTTTAGGAAGCCAACAGTATACCCCCTACCTTAACCCCAAATAACCTACTTTTTTAAGGACTTATATAAGGAAATCATACTAGGGAACCACCAAAAAGGTAGGCGATTTTGGGGTCCAGGTAGACCCTATAGAGCTCCTTGGGCTTTGAGCTTTTGGGGGGATCACTCAAAAGCGCCGGATTGGGTTATCATAGAATGAGGGGCGGGTATTATTGGGTAGGTTTTAGTTTTAGCACGTGTTTAAGGCGCACTTTGTATGATGATGGTGACAAAAGTTTCTGGTAACTTCTGAAGTCAAGAGCCCCCTTTTAATATTGTTAAACAGCGTTTCAATCCTAAGTCTTCTTTCCACGATGACGCCGTCTCCACGACGGGCAGCCAAGGATCGGCGGCCGGGGCAGATCCACACGCCGGGGCGAGAGGCCGGCGAATCTTCATGATCCACAGCCGCCGCCGGCCACCATGGACACCCCACCGACGAGGTCGAACTTCCCTCCTTTGTCGGCAGCCTCCACGCCGTGGACCTCGACGCCACCGAGCCCCAGGGCGCCGACCAGGAGCCGGCTGCAGTGGCCATGGACAGACCCGACTGGATGTTCCCGCCGGGGGCCCGCCCGGCCGATGAACCCCCAGCCTGTGAAGCTTAAGCCACAAATCATAAACATGAGCCTCTTTCTACAAATTAAATTAAGCAGAATCCTGCACTCAAATTAGACGGTTTCTTCCAGCCCACATCCTGATGTCCTACAGTAATATAGATTCTCAATATTTCCTAGCCGTGACCGAGTACAGTTCATGTATATAGCTATACTATACTATGCCCCGAAAGTGCAGGCTATTCATTGAGTCCCCAATATGAGACCCCAAAAGATCCCTGTGGAAATCCATTACCTAAAGAACCGTAGAAAGCCTCGTCCATTCATTGAGGACCCGGCTCGATTTAAACCCCAGGCCCTGCTAAAATCCATTACAGCCGAAAAAGGCTCCCATATGACAAACTCCAAGGCCTTTTAAGACGCCTGTAAGAACGCTCTACGCGCCCCAGATCCTATATGATCCCTCAAGGAACCCTACACAAACCCTAAACCCCAACACCCGAAACCTTAAACCCCAAACCTTCAACCCAAGACCCTAAACCCCATACCCCAGACCCCAAACCTCAAAGCCTGCACCCGAAACCCCAAAACCCTACGCCCCAAACCCTAAAGCCTGAGCCCCACACCCAAACCTTAAGCCATTTTTTCAAGCCGACAGGTGGAAGATGCAACACCATTGTGGCAGCTATCCGAGGTCCCCTTTATTTTACATAGGGTTTTAGCGTTTACGGTTTAGGGTTTGGATTTTAGGATTTAGGGTTTGGTATTTCGGACAGGGTTGTAGGGTTTAGGGGTTGGGGCTCAGGGTTTAGGGCTTTGGGATTAGAGCTTACGGGATGGGTTTTTATTAGGGTTTGGGGTTTACGGCTTATGGTGTTTAGGGCTCGCTGTGTATATCAGGGCGCAGGGGGCTTTTCATAGATTTTTGATCGGTGTTACTGTAGTGAGAGGAGAATACCACAGTAGGGTTGACGATGGGGGTCTACAGTCATCTTCAGCTTCTATCGTAATGGCTGCGTACCTGTTTTGAATGACGGTTCTAGGAGTTTGGGGGTTGTGGGGTGTGCAGATTCTAGTTCGGGGTATGGGGGTAAGCAATCAAACAGCATACGCACCTACCTTGCAGGTACAAGGGCCCCTACTTTTCGGCCACATCCGAAAATGCTGAACTGCATAGGCACGTAGGGTGGTTGTCAAAATTAAGGTCCCTTTTTGGGGTACCCTAAATATTAGGTGCCGTATTATAATAGGGACCCAAAAAGGGATCCTAATTTTGCCAAGCACCCATACAGGGACTACTCTAGGGATCCATTCCCCCCCATTCCCTATATAACCCCTAAACCCTAAAACCCTATAGATCCCCTTAAAGGATCCCTTAAAGAGACCCTAAACCCATGTAGGGTTGACGATCTTCTGCTCGAGCTCTGCAGCAGGAACTCAGGCGTAAACCCGGAAACCCTAAGCCGGTTCAGGGTGGAACTAAACCGAAACCCCAGCAGCCTGAAACACATCGCAAAAGAGAGCAAAACTGAGAGAGAGAGAGAGAGAGACAGAGAGACGGAGACAGAGACTGAGAGTGGCAAGTTAGTACATATCTAGGTCGTACATCCACATATGAGTATATATATATATATATATACAGATACATACACATGTATATGTAGAACCCTTGGAATTACGACAAGTGTCACTAACATTCCTGAAGGATTCCATATTACATCGGTGGTATAAGCAAGACCACAAACAGCCCAGCCGGCTTTACAGAGATGTAGCGAGAGAAACAGGTGGAGCGAGCGAGAGAGAGAGAGAGAGAGTCCTGGGCCTTGGATATAGAAATATGTCCCCCACGGTTTACCTGAACCCTAAGGAACCTTTTTAGGGTTCCCTAATATGATCTCTTTATATAATGTCTTTAAAAAGGTAGGTTACTTGGGGTTAAGGTAGGGTTTATGCTTTAGGGTTTTGGGGTCAGCAGACGCTTAACAGCCATGCGGACGACAGCATTCCTTCGCGTGGTGGCCTCCTTGCTGCCATGGACTTCGCAGCTCTGATTCAATTGAAGACACTCGGGGTTCGGGATCTTATGGTTGCTATATATGTATGTATACATGTATTATTTTTGTTTTAGGGGAGTTTGACGGTTCTACCTAAGACCCTATAACTGCCCTTAGTATCTCGGGTTTAGACTTCAGAGTTTTCGCGGGTAAAAAAGTTTTGGCGCTCACTGGCTCGGTGTTTGTGGGTTTCAGGCTCCGGGGATCTGTTGGTTTTGCGAGTGTGTGCTGCTTGCAGGCCAAAAGCCCCAAACCCTGAACCAAAGTACTTAAAGGATCATGGGACTTAGTAACTGGGGTTATAATTAGGGTAACTATACTTAAAAACTACTTATAACCCCAGTTAAAGTACTTATAACCTTACTTACCAAGTCCCATGATCCTCCAAGTAGGGTTTCGGGCTTTGAGATGCTTTCGCAAGAGTGGCGCCTCAGTAGCACTTACAAGAGCTACCCCTAAACCCTAAACTCTTACCTCCAGGCTGCAGCCCCAAAATTTTCAAATGGGCCCCTACTTTAAACCCTGTAGATCCCTTGAAGGAGCCCTATAGATCCCTTTAGAGAACCCCTGTTTTAGACCCTGGTGCCTCAAAGGACGAGCTCTCGGCCGTTGGAAGCCGAAACTCTTCGCGAGCTGAGCACTGCGCAGGTGTCTCAGGTGCCTTGCAGGGTTTAAGGGTTCAAAAAGGTCCTTGAAGGGGTCCCACTAAAGGAAACTCCAGAAAGTTGGAATATGGTTTCAGGGTAGGATACCTTATAATTTACCATAAAGGGTTTAGGATAATCATATTCCAACTTTCTGGCTTTTAATTTAAGGGATCTATAGGGTTACTAAGGCTCGAAGAGGTCCCAGGGTTCCTTTACAGGGTCCTTTGAGGGGTTCCTTTTAAGGTTCCATATGGTTCCTGGGGTTCGTTTGAAGTTCCTTTAAGGGATCGATAGGGTTCCTAGGGATCCTACATTTCCTTTCAGGGATCTATAGGGTCGGGGTTTGGGGTTTAGCGGTTAGGGGCTCGCTCCTGGAGCGCTTGGGGGTTCGGGTTTGGAGGTTTCGGGGGGTTTAGGGTTTTAGGCTGTGGGGTTTTGAGGTGTAGGGCTCAGGGTTGAGAGTGTGTTCGTGCAGGGTTGGGTTTAGGGTTGGGGCTGGTGCATCGGAGATGGAATTCGGGTTGAGGGGTGTCTAGGGTTTTAGTATGTCTATCTGGGACAAATCTGGAGGTCTGAGGTGGGTTGTTCCTGTAGGATGTGCGGGGCGCTCGGTTTTTTTGGTTGATTTCGATTTTAAGACTAAAGGCTTTGGAGGATATCTAAAATGGCGTTTTGCGGACTTTCTACGGGTAATAGGGCTTTAGGGTGCTGCAGGTCTTTTGGGGTTCAGGATTAATGTTTACACGGGCCTAGGGAAACCGTCTACACCGGAGTTGCTGAACAAGTGGAATCGCGAAGCTTGGCCAAAGCTGCAGGGTTTTGCTTGTATGGACACCCTGCAAGTACCCCAGAACCATTGTGCCTGAAACGCGGAATCTTGAATGAGTCTTGTTTCGATGCCTGATATGTTCGACAGAATGCCCCAATTAAGGGCTAAACCCTAAACCCTAAACCGGCTTAAGATATTTGGCTCTTGGAAGCAGCCTGTACAACCTCGATTACGCCCGGCAACATTCAGAAGAAGATGCTTCAATCAGGGATACCTAAACCCTACCCCAAAATCCCTTAATGAAGGAATATAGGAATATACCTTAATTCATATTAGGGATCCTGTAATAACTTAAGGTATATTCCTTAATTAAGGGTTTTTGGAAGGTTTGGGTACGTAAACCCTACCCCAGAAGCTGGAGCTACAGCAACGGGTTCAAGGTAAGCCCCGAAATCCACGACCGGCCTTGTCCTTTTTCATGGTTCCCCCAAAAGAATAAACAGACCGGCTAGTAGACCTTCTTAAATAATTCCTACTAATAAGGGATATAGGTAGAGGGCTCTGTCTATTACTTCTAAAAGGACAAGGGTGTCCACGACTCCGGTGAAGGCTCCCGACATCCCGCGCTTTGATGGAAGCGACACCGCAGCCTGGCTTCTGGGGATCTTAATAAGGGCTCACGGGTCTCAAGCTCAGGAGTTCACCAAGTGCTTCAAGGCTTCAGCCCCACAACGTCCCAAACCACGAACCCGTGATGTAGACACTAGTTTAAAATACCCCGCTACTGGGAGGACCCATCAAAGTAGTGTGTAGGATCCCGTCAAGATCGTCCTGCGAGTCACAAACCCAAAAACCCTACACCCTCCTAACTTATGCAAGAAGTTTCGCCAGATCCAATAAGAGGCACCTAACCACAAAAACAAACCCTTAACTGTTTAGGGCTTACTAAGCCTGAACCGCTACGAACTTACACAGCTGAGGTCCCACCTGTCTCAAAGCCTTTGCAGATATCTTCGAGTTTTGGCCCTCGCTGGAAAGCTTCCCAGTCGCGCGACGACTTCCACCGCGGCATTGACTACTTCGACACTGATACCTTATTTGGCCTACTACTTTAGGCCTCCATATTGGGGTCTTTTGTGTGCTGAAGCTACCAGGTTCTGCCCTTAGGGTTTGCACTTGAATTGGTCGATCTATGTAGTTCTCTTGTGTGTAGGTAAGTGCACATAGCGTACCTACATCGATTTTTGCCTACTCCCGAAACCCAGAACCTGTATAGGAACCGCATCTGCAGCTTGGGTTTAGGCAGGTCAGATAGGTGCCTTGATGGAACCGTTTAGCGGACCTTTGTGGCGTGCCCAAGCTGCCGAGGATGACCTCGATGCACCCATCTATGCCTGTCAGAACGGCACTGTCTTCCAAGCTCCTTGCTGCTTAGGGTCTAAGGTTCAGGGAGTCACTGTTCAGGCTGATACTCTTGAGGGCTTTGGCCTAGATGCCCTATCGAAAGAAACCACAAGCGGATTGCTACACAGCTCGTGGCGTACTATAGTTACTATAGATGTTTGAATACCTGGTAATGTTATCGCCGCTATCTCCTTTTGGTCCTCTGTACTTAGAACCTGATCTTCCCCCAAGCCCTATGCAGCCCTACTCTCTAATTCACAATGCTCACATATTTTGGGTGGTTCTTGGAAGATTTAGTGGGCTTGGCTGATGTAGGGGCTTCGGTCACTCGGATTCGGGGGTTCAGGGATTGTTTTTAGTGTTTTGAGCTCAACATGTTTGTAGGTTGTTATGACTAGTACATAGAGCTTACCTGTGGTCCAAAAGACCAGGACGTATATATAGAAACCATAATAATAAAGAAGCCGCAAAAGGTAGGTCTTTTCGGTTACAGGTAGGGTTTGGTTCAGCTTCGGTCAGACCGTCGCGAAGACCAGGTGCACACGGAAGCAGCTGGCAGTATGCCTGGAGGTGGAAATGTCCTTGTTCTAGAGCATTCTCTAGCATCGACGGCGAAATTCCATGTTCCTCGGTGGCATGGGGTAGCGTGGGAAACTGCGAGGCAGAGTGCTAGTCCACTAGGCTGTTTGTCGTTGCGGTCTGGGCTTTAAGTTCAAGGGTTACGACGGTTACGAGTCATGCATTCTTCCAATGGGCCTCATGCGCTGTTATTCTGGTTGCTATCACAATGGCGCGCCGACAAAGTAGCTCTTCCCGGGCTAGCATGTTACATGGTGCCATGCACGCAAACAGCCAGCTTGTCCCTAGTTTAGTTAACTTTGTCATAGTTGGTAGTATATTGAATTTTTATGGGTACGTGAACCCAATAAGGAATACACATGTACATTTTTATTCCTATCCCAACAATGAACTAAAGTATATTGTACCTGTCAATTTCCCCTTGGAGTGCGCAAGGGGTCCCTATATAGATACTTTAAGGGCTGAGTACCCGCTGTATGGGTACATGGAGCCTTTGGGCTCAGGGCCTATTGCCCGACTCAGTGGATACCTGGACCCCGAAAGCCAAGCCAAACTTGCCTGCCCATTCGAGCTCCTCCAAGCCGACGGCTCCGAGGTTTAGGGTTTAGGGTTTAGGTTTAGGGTGAAGGGTTTAGGGTTAGGGTTTAGGGTTAGGGTTTAGGGTTTAGGGTTTAGGGTGGCGTACCCCAAGAGAGCCACACCAACTCTGAACGAAGGAACATGCCCCACATTATGCGGGGTTTCTCAAATTCATTTTAAGTGGTTGTCCTTGATGAAGGGATATGAGAATTCCAGGGGTCGGATCTCGTGCATAGGATGTAATGGGGTTTTGGGGCATAGCCAAAGAAAGCGATGCACACACGATCGCAAGGGTAATGGGGTGGCCTTCATGCAGGGGTTATTTGTGGTCATGGGGTGGGACTTCAGTGCAAGCCAAGGACAGAGTGATCAACAAGTACTACTCCTATTACTTGCACCTGAACTCTATTGCGGCACTCTCTGAAGGAGATGTGGTAAGCAAGGGTACAGCGATCGGCACGATGGGGCAGACAGGTGGGATTATTACGAAACGTAACTATAGGGGCTAGGGCTACCTGCGATTGTCACTATACTACCGTTATTTATACTGGTTTCACTCTTACCACTCATAATTTCTACAACTATCGACTACTAGTATCATCGTCATGATTTTATTACGACAATGAGTACTCGTGCCTGTATTGGTCACATAATCTTCTAATTATTAATATTCTCATCGCCATATCTGCATGGTAACTATCTCAGTGCAGGGAAATGTCAGATTCCTGGAAACCCGAAAGCCCCCCTGAATGTTCTCGAATCCCTCACCCCCGCATGAAACGTAAAGCATGCAAAGCAGATTTCAATTGCAAATCAACAGGCGAAACCTCCTTCACCCACCTGCACTTCGAAACACGCCTGGTGGGCTACTGCTCCTATCAGCTTCCGGTGCGGCACAAAACCTTTTTGCGCGTCTTCTTTGTTAACCATTGTATTGACAGCCCTAGACCCCAATGATCAAGAGTTTCGTGCGTGCTGTTCAGAGGTTCAGTCTCGCCCGGAAGGTCAGAAAGTGTTCGAAGGCTTTCGGGTTTTGGTGGGCAAGTAAGGTTTCAATATGCGAACAATCGTCAACCCTCTCCAACATCCAGTTGCAACACCGGCTTTGATCCTCATGTCCACCCATACTTGTTTGTTGGCGGGGTCGCGAGTGGTCCGAAGTATCTCTATGAAGTTGAGCCGATGGAAGGCTTTGAGTATGCAGTGCGCTACAACGCCACGCGCGGCCACATGGACATGGACGTTATACGAACGAGTCTAGGAGACGTTCACATCGGGACCAGGCACAATGTCAATATCAACACAGTCGAGACCCTCGATGATCTCCACAACATAACCCCGTGGATGGCTTTACGTCCGGGGTATTTCGTGTCTACTACAGAGGACACCTATACTTACGAGCTTCACTTTAGGTCTGCACCTACCTTCGTGGAGGTCTACGACATCTATGGGAACGGAATTCGAGCAAGTATGGCGGCTGAAGCCAGCTCCCACACGTCAACTACGGCCACGGAAGCCCCTAACGAGGCGGCAGAGGGGACCGCCTCCGCTGGTGAAGCTCGCCGCGGCAGTTGGCTTGCCTTCTTCCTTGTCGTGGGACTGTCCTATTACCCTAAGGCTCCAAAGTAGTTCCTTTTTGGGGTTCATATATAGAATCCTATAAGGTAACCCCCAAAAGGAACTACTATGGAGCCTCTGGGTAGTTGAGTTTGAATCACACAGAGGTGTAGCACACCTCTACAGTTGATATGGCAGAAAGTATGACGGTTCTTGCAGGTGCTGATAGACATCTGGGTAGTTCTCTAAATTGGGGCCCCTGCTTAGGTCCCCAAAATCTTGTGGCACTGGTTAGTTAAGGGACCCTGGAAGGGACCCAATTTAGAGAACTAATATAGGGGCCTTAATAATTGGAATAAGGTTTTGGGACCCATCATACTATACACCCCCCACAATGGTATTGGTAGTTATCAAGGCCCCTATGGTACAGTACCATTGTAGTAGCCCTTATAGTAACCCTTACAGACGCCTGTAAAGGAACCCTAGGACCCCTATACATAACAATTTAGGCCACTGTGTTTCCCCTGGGTTTGCTAATGTACGTCTCTTCAAAAGCTCCACAGACCGATGACGGAGGAGTTTAGGGTTTAGCGTTGCCGGCGTTCTCCGATGCTTCGGCTTTCCGTTTCGACAGGCAGCTACAAAGCCAGATCTGCTGCAGCATGCGAATGAATTCGATTCTGCTGTGCTGCGGCTTCTGCTGCTCCCGAAGGGAAATAAACATCTTCGGCTGCGAATGCCAGCCCTGGAACCCTAAACTAAGCTTTTAAGTCAACTCAAGAAGCCCTGCACTCAAGACTCTACCACAATAATGCTGAAGCGCCTTTAACCTGATCACTTCGAGCCGGATGAGAAGCCGACTAAAGCTCGGTTAAGCTTCGTGGGGGCACTTTGCACCCAGCTTAAGCTCCCGCCCATGTAAGGTTTAGGAGTTTAGGGTATAGGGTTTAGGGTATGGGGTTTAGGGTTTTGGGTTTAGGGTTGAGGGTTTTGGGTTTAGGGTTTTGGGTTTTGGGTTTTGAATTTAGGGTTTAGGGTTTAGGGTTTTGTGTTTAGGGTATTAATATCCGGTCTAGGGTTCAGGGGCCCATATAGAAAGTAGGTCACAAGTGAAGATTCTCTGGGGGTGTTCGACTAGAGGGATCGTGGCAGGGGTTTATTCGGCTCGGCAAGTGGGTGCAAGCAAGCCTAGATGTACAACAATCTAAAAAGTACGACTGTCCCCAGAGAGCCCAATACCCCTCAATTGAGGAATATAGCTTAAAATCATAATATGAAGCCCATTATAATATAAGCGATATTCCTTAATTAAGGGGTACTGGGCTCTCTGGGTCTGTACAGCCAATTAAGCCTCCTGCTCCTGATCCTCTAGGTAGGACAGCAAAGATGGTGCTGGAGACCCAAGTTGCTGCAGAAGACGCTGATAGAGGGAACTCCAGAAAGTTGGAATATGGCTTCAGGGTTGGATACCGTAAATTAAGGGTTTAGGATAACCATATGCCAACTTTCCGGCTTTTACTTTAGAGATGTAGCCGCAAATACTTACTACTCCCAGATCTTCCTAAGCTAAAGTCGTTTGGAAGTTCTGGGCATACTTGCATCAAGACCCTGAGCCTTGAATGAAAAAGCCCTAAACCTGTGACCCTAAACCCCCAAACCAAAAATGTCAAACCCTGGTAGTACCTATCCACGACGATAAGCTGGCTCCCAGATGCCTAAAGGATCCCAAGAGGATCTCCACAAAACTAGCCCCCGCAAGGCATCCGATTACCACGTGGCTCAGATCTCTCTTTCTGGCAGGACTACTATCTTCTACAGTAGAAAAGTTGGAAACCCAATAGCCTCAGTCCTTAAGAGTAATGTATAGGGAATCCCAGCACCATTTGTCCTTAATCAGGTTTCCAACTTTGTGGAGTTTACTGTAACCCTAAAGCCTAAGCCCTAAACCCATAAAGGGCATTCAGGGCTTAGGGACCCTAAACTCTAAACCCTAAACCCCTAACCCTTAACCTTTGTGGAGTTTACTGTAGAGGGTTCTAGAGGCTCTGAGGTCTGAGCATGTCACCTGATCCTAATGTAGGGGCCTTAATAATTAGAATAGGGTTTTGGGGCCCATTATACTATAATTATATTAAGGAACCCCCACCATAATATTGGTAATTATTTAGGCTCCTACATTAAGGGCTTTGGGCTCAAGGCTTAGACCAACAGCATTCCGAGGAACATAACCCGAAACCCTATTCCAATTACTAAGGCTCTTGCAGCAGGGTGGATAAGTTAAGTCGCTAAACCCTAAACCCCTATAGACCCTAAAGCCTAAACCCCTCAACTCTTGACCCCAAAACCCCTAATTAATTGTTTAACATCACGCGGCCAGGGCTGCCGTGTGTCCCTCCACTTCGCGGCTGCCCCGGCAGGCTGGGTTTAAAGTTGATGTAGCTTATTGTTTCTTATTGGCTGTAAACTCAACTTTTCAACTTTTGGGTTTCTTATAAGGTAGTCGATTCTGAAAGTTTCAACTTTTATTTCCTTGGGTTTTGGGGCCAGAGAGGTTTAGGGATTTAGGGTTTAGGATTTGGGTTTCACCATGGGATAGTTAAAGTCCCCAGGGGCTCCTTTGTAATGAGTCTTCAGTGGTTTCGGGATTGACGGCTTGGGGCTTAAGCTTTCGCAGTTTGGAGTTGGAGGGTATTTTAGGGCTTGAGGCGTTTGGCTCCACGATTCCAAGATGGGCGGATCATCCGCACTCCGTGGCCCTCAAAACTGCGGCAAAAACTGAACGTCTGAAAGATTGTCTACCACTAAACCCAAAGCACTGCAAGTCGCGAAGCCTGGCTACTTGCTGGGCACATGAATGTCAGGATTTGACATCGACATCGTAATAAATCCGACACAGCCAGGTAGTGCGCCCTTATTACATACGCAGGGTTGGTATACCTTGACCCTTGAGGGCCCTTCCCCTACGCATCGAACCTCGATGGTTTGGGGGCCCTAAATCCTAAACCCTAAACCCCTAAACCCTAAACCCCTAAACCCTAAAAGGTCTCACGACCCAACAAATGCAGAGAACCGCGCCAGGTGAGTTCGACGACTCGACCTGGGTTGGGGCTGCCAGGACCCCGCTCAACCTATGGCTAGAATTAGGGGTGCCTTAGGGTTCCTTTAAAGGGATCCTATAAGGGTTACTATAAGCGCTACTATAAGAGTTTATATGGGTGTTTCCGAAAAGTAGGGGTACCTTTAAAGGGATTCTAAAAGGGATCTATAAGGGTTCTATAAAGAGTTTAGGGTTTAGAGTTTCCGAAAATTAGGGGTACCTTATTTTGGGGTCCCTATAATGAGGATCCTGCTATTTAGGGTACTATATTGGGGTCCCCTACTCTCGGAACCTCCCATCTAGGGCGGGGGTGCGGTGCGTGGCACACAGATATATGTATATGTTTATGTATATGCTGTTGTATATGTACATACTGTCGAACTACACCAAATATGTTTATATAAGTACATATGCATGTATATGTATCCACACATATGTATGTGGATAGATGTATACACATTCGCATGCATATGTATATATATATATATATGTGTGTATATATATACATATATATGTACACACATACATGTACAAATATGTGTATATATATATATATATATATATACTTATATATACATATACATATACAGATAATATATACATACATAGAGACAGAGAGAGTGAATGTTACACGTATATGTATGTATGTGTGTATATATGTATATATATACACATATCCAAATAGATACATATGCGCACACACACGTGTGTAAGCTTTATAGATTAAAGCAAATGCATCATCTCGGACTTGCCAGGAACTACTGGCGAATGCTCCGCGATACATGGTCCGAATACCGCACGGAGTGAACGCAGCGGCGAGCGGCGAGAAAATGCCGTGGGTTCAACTGGGCTTGGAGAGCTGCAAACGGGTAAGGGAAAAGCTTCGCGGCTTCAGGGATTACTGTTGACTACCCCTTCAACGGCTACTTCCAACTGCCCCTGTGCCTGCAAGCGGATGCTACACTTCAGGTGTGATAGGGCTCAGGGCCAGGATTTTGGTGTTCAGGGCTTTGGGTTCAAAGCTGGTACTATGTGTAAAAAAAGTGTCAGTTAGTTACCAATATCATTCCTCAGTGCCCCTTATCAGATTATAGAATGTACCCGAAACCCTATAAACAAATTTAAGGCCTTTACAGTAAAATTTCAGGGCTCAACAAGTTCACCAGTCTTTCGCCGTAGGCTTGGAAGGAATCCTAACCCGGCCAGGTCTGAACTCCTCATTTGGATTTGCAACCCCCAAACAGTAGATACTCTACCATAAGGTACTGCTGATGGACAAAATCCTGCATGACCCTAAGGACTCTAAACTATGGAAATTATGGTATATTCCTTATAATGGGTAATGCAGGATTTTGTCCATCAGCCGTAGGGACTACTTTCAGGCCCTAGTTATACCATAAGGTAGGGACTACTTTAAGGCCAAAGAACATGATATTTGGGCATGCTGGCAACTTGCAGCTGCTTCGAAACTGCATCGACAACGTTTTAGCCGTTTGCATGCAGGGCTGGTGCACCTCATTGCCCTCTAGACCCTCACCCCTTTCGGGGAACTTCGGATTGCTCATGTGACACATAATGCGAAGCTACACCCAAGTAGCCTGCTGAGGTTGCACTGGGTGAACATCGCTTCTCGGTGGCCTGGATGGCAGGACGGCTTCAAGAGTTCTCGCTTTTTTGGTTCGGTCGATGGTTTATGGTTATGTAGGTAGGACCGTTCTGCGTGGTTTTACATATGCCTTCGGCCAGGCAAGCCTGGATGTTCTCAAAAGCGAAAACCCTCTAAAATGTTCACAAAAATCTTCAAATTTTCAGTGTTTCAACAATTTCGAGGCCTTCCAAATTGAGATGCCGTTAATCTACTGAACGTTTTGCAAAATTACTAGGAACTTAAATACGAAACGGGGCATGTATGAGTCATAATGGTTCGGGGAAGCTTTTTCACACCTAGCTAAAATTAAGCCTCAAACCCTAGTTT